AGGACCTGGGACACCCTGTATATATGTACAGCCATATGCGGATTTGAGCTTACATAAATCCAAATTTATGTAAAAAAACTGAGTTGTCCCTTAACAATGTATTATATAATTGATTTCTTTGTAGATGCTACTCTGTTCGTCTAGATTCAGTACAGTATTACGTTCATTTGTAATTACAATGTCTTAAGCATTAAAAACAATTAGGACAGTTGTACCTTGGGGATACAATAATGTTTATTATATTATATATTTAATGATGTCCTAAGAAAAGACCTGTGTAGCTTGCTTGAAAATCCGCACAATTTTATGAGAGAAAGTGGTTACGAATTGTTCCTCTTCGCCACATTATAAACGAAAACCAATAGGCACTGAACCGTATTGTGACTTTGCTATACGATATGAATTCTCCATGGCAGCCGGAAACGTTGTTGAATAGATGGTCAGAGAGAGTAGCAGAAGTTTCCCATGTCCGACGGGAAAAGTTCACGGCGCGGAGTCTGTTCGCCGTGCTGCTTTTGAAAATAATCGATTAGAATTTTCCAAATCCCTGTAAAAAAAAAACTGCACCATCAGCAAATAGTGAAACTGCCGGTTGTAAATTACATACAAGGACCAATCTCAAATGTCACGAACGGCTCAAACGGCGCTCGCGAGTATCTCTTCCTCGTACTCTGTACCGCGTCGTAAAAAAATGTCATTTTATGATTGTAATCCAGCTGTATTCAATGAAATTTCAAAAGAGTTTCCAATCGCTTTTGCTCGAGATTGGCGTTTGTCGGCAGCCCCGCCCTTCCAAAGCTCATTCCCGCCCCGGCAATCAAAAGTTAATAATGACCGTTTGTTCTGGCTAACGGAAGATCGACATACATAAGGGCATAGGCTCACCCAACTTAATTAAACCCCTCTCTAATGTCTTATTCATCGAACTTCATCGAGCAACAACGCTTTCTCATTTCACCCCGTGATGTCTGACCCTGTGTAGAAACTCGCATTCTGGTTTTTATAGGGTCATTTAGGATAGAAGCTAAATGTCGTTTCTACTCAAGATGATAATTGTTTATTTGTTTGCTACACTGCTAAGATTTTATTGAGCTTTATAACAACAAAATAAAGTGGATCGTGATATTTTTTCGGAAAACGACATATACTACAAAAATACCACTGCATATGATTTTCTGTGACTATTGATAATAGATTGTATTGGGCAGGAATAACTTTTAGTTTTAATAGAAATTGATACCTAGATTTATTTCCTGAGAGATAGCTGCAGTACTCGCATTATCAAAGCCAAGAGCTCTCTCCCATTTACAGAAAATTGGGCGTAAGCAGTCTCGTCACTCGAGTGCCTTTATGGTCTAACGACAGATAGTTCAGAACGCTTCTGTGATTCGTTTTCCGATTCTTGGTTAATTTGAGAAAAGTGAGTTCTGTATGTTATGTATTACATTTGGCAGCGATCAACATTTCAATCAACAACAAAACGTGAAGTCATTTCTGTCCCACTGGAGGGCTTAACTTCATTAGAGTTCGTGGTCCGATTGACCGTATAACGTTTTTCAATTAATTAATCTTTATGAAAGGTATTGGTTGAGATAAAAAAAAGTCAGTGACCGAGCGGGATTCGAACCCACGAACCTCGACTATATACACCGCTGCTCAACCACTTGAGCAATCGTGACTTCGATCCGCTCGGGCACCAACTTCCCATCTCAACTCCACCTTTTGAATTTTCCTTCCTTTTTGCCATTTTTATCTCAACCAAAACCTTAATTAAAAAGATTGATTTTAAGAAAAGAATTTATTTGGTCAAGCGGATCAAGAAACCTAATAAATTATTTTAGTTTCATTTCTATTATTTTAATAACATTTTTTAATTATAAACCACTATATTTAGTGTTCTATTGGCCAAATTACTTCTTTCAATTAATTAATCTGAACCAATTTCTTCGGGAAAATTCGAAGGGTAGGTTGAGATGGGAAGTTGCTGTCCGAATGGATCGAAGTCACGATAGCTCGAGTGGTTAGAGTTGCGAGTATTGTGTTCCATGGGTTCGAATCCCGCTCGTGACACTGACTTTTTTATCTCAACCAATACCTCATATAAAGATTAATTGAAGGAGGGCATAACGTTCAACTACCCGTTGCCTATGGCGGATAAGAAGTCAAAACCACTTTACAATACTTTTCGTCAAATTATTCTCCAGTAAAAGTCCAAGGCCTATGGCAGAAGTCAAAAGGTTAAAATTAAATTACCTAAAAGTGCTAATTTCTCACAAAATCATGGACTCGGCGAAAATGGTCTTTTAGAAGAATAAAAGTGTCTTTTCCAGGGTATGGTATGAAACTGCTAAGTAAAAATAGACTTCGAACACGTTCAAACAAAAATGACATCCATTATCATCACTAATTTGGTGGAACATTACGAAATATTAAATTCGCTAGTTTTCGTGGTCGCTTGACCCACTAATATCATTCAATTAATTAAGGTTTTTAGTTGAGATAAAAAGTCAGTGTCACGAGCGAGATTCGAACCCACGACCTTCGGCTTGATACGCCCCTACTCTACCACGAAAAATGTCAAAAAGGAGGGAAAATTCAAAAACTGGGGAAAACTGTTTCCTTAAGAAAAAAATCGGCGGGATGAATTTGCCAGGATAAAAACGAAGGTGAGCTCGATCAGGCTGGAGTTGGTATAAGGAAATTGCCGATTGCCTATAGACCTGGTTATAAAAACATTCGATTAAAAATATTAACACGAACAATATAAATAGATATTTGGAAGCATGTGCTCAATACATCATACATCGAAGTCACGATGGCTCAAGTGGTATGAGCAGCGGCGTATTTAGCCGAAGGTCGTGGGTTCGAATCCCGTTCGTGACACTAACTTTTTCATTTCAACTAAAACTTTATATAAACATGTACACGACATTTGAAAAATGGCAAAAAGGAGGGAAAATTCGAAAAGGTGGGGTTGAGATGGGAAGTTTAGCCGAGTGGATCGAAGTCATGATAGCTCATGTGGTAGAGCAGCGGCTATCAAGCCGAAGGTCGTGGGTTCGAATCCCGCTCGTGACACTGACTTTTTTATCCCAACTAAATACCTTAATTAATTGAATTACGAAATATATGGAAATGTAATACCTGAGAAATTGACCCACCAAAAAATTGAAGTATCCTGCATTAGCAATAAAGTTGGGATTCCATCGTCGTGAAAAATCAAAATCAACCCCTATTATCGCTAGTGGGTAGGAATAACCAAAATATCTGGGAGACATCCTTAGTAGCTACGAAAGTAGACTTCGAACACGTTCAAACAAAAATGACTTCCATTATCACTAATTTGGTGGAACATTACAAAATATGTGGTGAAATTGAACGGTAGTACCTGAGAAATTGACCCACCAAAAAATTGAAGTATCCTGCATTAGCGATAATGGAGGGATTCCATCGTCGTGAAAAACAAATCAACCCCCTATTATCGCTAGCGTGTAGGAATAACCAAAATAACTGGTGAGAGATCCTTAGTAGCTACGAAACTATTCCATGCAATTCTGTATAACTACCAAAGAGGTAAACTGCAGCTGCGATGAAGTTTGGCACCTTTGTACTGTAAATCATCACGTTTTTACACCACTGCTTCCTGAGTATGAAACTGTATAATGAAATATGCTGCGTAGCTAGTAGCTACTAAGGAGACTGCAACAGCAACACCGTCCATCATTAATCATGATGAAAGCCAAATGAACTCTATTGACCACCCCTCCGTGCCAGCTTCATAACGGCTGTATCTTTGAAGTAAAAACCACATTTTTTATATTTTTCTACAGTGAAATACTCCGAAATGTACATTGATAAAGGATTACGTTTACGAACAAAACAATGTTAGTTATCTAGTTTTGTCCTTCATTTATTCAATTTATATTTTATACTTTAATATTTATTTGTGACTGAAAATTAACATTGTAATGTTTATATTCACTAATTTCGTGGTCCGCTTGACCAATTAATATATTACAATTAATTAAGGTTTTTAGTTGAGATAAAAAAGTCAATGGCACGAGCGGGATTCGAACCCACGATCTTCGGCTAGATACGCCGCTGCTCTACCACTTGAGCTATCGTGACCTCGATCCACTCGGACACTAACTTCCCATCTCAACCCCACCTTTTGAATTTTCCCTCCTTTTTGCCATTTTTCAAATGTCGTGTAATCGGATTGGATTCTCGGCGACAAATGAAATGGCCACGGAGAGCCAAAAAGGCATGAAAAGCAAGCCGAAGATCGTGGGTTCGAATCGCGCTCGTGCCATTGACTTTTTTTATCTCAACTAAAAACCTTAATTAATTCTAATGTTTAATGTGTTTAGGATCTGGTTTCTGGTTAGGTAGAGAAAGAAGTAAACTCTAATTACTTGTCAAGCTTTCGGCCTTTTTTAAGACCATCATCAGGGCAGCATCCTATTTCTCATAATAACATTACAGAATGACGAAAAAAAAAACCCGACGACATTGACTACGAGGTCTCGAAGTACATGAGCTTGGTTAAGTTGAAATTAAGACAAGTTTTTCAAGTTTTTTCTAGAATAGTGGTCTCCCAAAAATGCAGGTCCAGTCGATCGAATGCATTTTGTAGTAACCTCGTAGTCTATGTCGTCGGGGTTTTTTTCGTCACTCTGTAATGCTAATATGAGAAATAGGATGCTGCCCTGATGATGGTCTTATAAAGGCCGAAAACTTGGCAAGTGATCACAGTCTACTTCTTTCTCTACCTGATCAGAAACCAGATCCCAAGCACATTAATCGTCGTGGTCGATTTCTTCTTCACCAACATTGTAATGCTTAGCACGATATATACATTGAAAGGATGAGGTAAAAACTGAAACATATGGATTTTTTGTTAAATTTTCCTTGTCTCTACATCGTGATGCACCATATTTACAATCACCCCGCCGTTTTTTGTTTTTTGTTATTGTTCTAAATTTTATTTTGTTTTACAGTCGGTGGTATCAGCCGGGAGAGAGATGCACGCGATAAAACGTGGCTTGCTCTGGCAGCAGAGAGACAGGATATTTTCGAGGTGGAAGGAAAGGTATTTCATCCTTACCAAGGACTACCTGCACTGTTTCAAAAGATCGTCGGGGCTCCATAACATCTCGCCGATGGGCCAATTTATATTTAAAGTGAGTATGCTCTGCACACAGGATGTCGGAGGATGAAGGTCATAGTACTGTCTTCACTGCCTTATAAGCTTTTTGAAGGCCTATTCCTCCTATTTGCACTGTTGATTCCTGAATACAAAACACCTTTTTAATTAGTACTTAGCTGCACGATTAAAAAAATAAATAAAATATTTAAAAAAACTTATGCGAGAAAACAACGATCTTAGGCATTTGATTTGGTTAGAAGATTAAACCATGTTACTTGAATTATAAAGTACGAAGTAATGTTGTATTTTTGCACGTTATTTTTGACGTTTTCCATCACCACTTTAAAACATTAAAAACAATTATGAATTAAATATTTTACATTTGAAAAACTATTCAAATTGATGTTGAAGAATTAAAGTCAATAGTGACTTTATTGAAATAAATTAGTGATATTAATTTTAATTGAAATTAGGCACAAAGGCAAAATTGTTTTTAAAAAAATGTGATGTGGCACATGTATGTATGTATTTCTACTGATAAAAATGTTTAAAAAACATCTAGTCATGTTTTTTTTATCATAGTAACTAGATAATATGAGGAAATAAAAATATTTAAAAAATATATAAAACTTGGGTTAACACACAGATTTTAAAATATCATTTTGAAAAATTAATTGTTGATTCATAATTGTCTTAACTGAAGGTTGGGAATATAAAGATGACCCCGAATGACAAAAGTAATGCAGAAAAATTACAATGTTACCATTAATTTGTTGTTAATAACTCCAATTATAAAAGTTTTAATCCATTAGATTTCATGGTCCGATTGATCAAATAACATCTTTCAATTAATTAATTTTTAAGTAGGGTATTGGTTGAGATAAAAAAGTCAGTGTCAAGAGCAAGATTCGAACCCACGACCTTCGGCTAAATACGTCGCTGCTCCACCACTTGAGCTATCCTGACTTCAATTCGCTCGGACACCCTCCATGTCAAAAAATGGCCAAACGGAGGGAAAATTCAAAAGGGTTGAGATGGGAAGTTGGTGACTGAGTGGATCGAAGTCATGATAACTCAAGTGGTAGAGCAGCGGCATGTTTAGCCGAAGGTCATGGGTTCGAATCCCACTCGTCACATTGACTTTTCTATCTCAACCAATACCTTACTTAAAGATTCATTAATTGATAAAAGATTTATTTGAAAGTGTTAAATTTAGACTAGAATGTGATTAATACATTATAAATTGGCCTACATAATTGAGAGGTTAAAATTATAATAAATGCTGGTCTTGTAATGTCCTTCCATTTTCAGACCAAACAGAAATATGTTGTAAATCTAAAGCTATTTTTAAACATAAGCGTACGTTTGCCACTATTTTTAAAAATTTCAATGATTTAATTTTAAGAAATCGATTATCTCTTGCAATTCTTATTGTGTATGTCTTATTCAACCCGATTGCCCTAGTTGGTCCAAATCGAAAAATTGTAAAAATTTTTTCTAATTTTTATTTTAATCGCTGCAAGTTATATGATAAGCCCTGGGTCAGAAAACGGCTGAACTGACAAGTTTTCGTCATGTTTCTCTATACAAATTTATCTGATGTGCATTTTAGTTTGATTATTGTTACATCACATGTTAGGAAAAGAGGAAAGAAACTTGATATATTGATCTTATTGACGTATTGATATTATTGAAGATTGTTTTTCTTATTTTTTGTACAATTATATGTATACTTTATTTGATAATTCTAATATTTCTTTCAGTTTTTTAATGATTTTTTTATAGTTATAGTTTTTAAAAGAAAGGTTTGAGTTTTTGAACATGATGGCTATTGACGAACAATTTAAGTAATTTTAAAAATAATTACAATTAATTAAGGTTTTTAGTTGAGATGAAAAAGTCAATGGCACGAGCGGGATTCGAACCCACGATCTTCGGCTTGATACGCCGCTGTTCTACCACTTGAGCTATCGTGACCTCGATCCACTCAGACACCAACTTCCCATCTCAACCCCACCTTTTGAATTTGCCCTCCTTTTTGCCATTTTTTATCTCAACTAAAAACCTTAATTAATTGTAATATATTAATTGGTCAAGCGAACCACGAAATTAGTGAATTTAAAAATCATTTTCATTTTTGTATTGTATTATTTATAAAAGCACACTTAATTTGATCAAATAAAAAAATAATTGATAAATATTAAATAATTATATAAACCAAATCATACAAATAAAATGTAATAGTTTGTTAAAGACAGTCTGACGATACAAGATTAATTAACTAATTTGTCCACATTGTATTCAAACCCATTATATTTTGTGGTCCGATTGACCAAATAACTTCTTTCAATTAATTAACCTTAATGTAAAAATGGCAAAAAGAAGGGAAAATTCAAAAAGTGGGGTGGCTTGAAATGGGAAGTTTGTGTCCGAGAGGATCGAAGTCATGATAGCTCAAGTGGTAGAGCAGCGGCGTATTTAGCCGAAGGTCGTGGGTTCGAATCCCGCTCGTGACACTGGCTATTTATCTCAACCAATACCTTATATAAAGATTAATTTATTGAATGTTTGTATTCAAAATTAATAATGACATTAGTGAAAAACTTTTTCCGCATCCCACCCATGAAACGCATTATACCAATCGTTTCAAAATGTATTATTCAAAATTTATTCTTTTTTTTTTTCTAGGTGAAACTTGTTGAATTGGAAAAAGTTGAATGGCTCAATAAAAAAAGCTACAGCGCAATCGGGCTCGCTCTTCAGGGGAGGGAGAGCAAAATATTACTCAGGGCTCCCTCAGGGCTCGAAGATTGGTTCGAACTCCTTGAAGTAAATATTGAAATTATTGATTTAAGCCATCTAGAGTTAGTTTAACACGCTTTGCCATTTCAGGAGTGCACTATTGCAAGCAAAGAACGAAGGATAGCTTTGAGGAAGCTTCATGACCCCAATTGGGGTAGCAATGATGGCCCTTATAGCCGGACAGACTGGATTTCCAATTCAGGTAAATTAACAAACAAAAATCTGCATATAGTCCTATATACATAAAAATAAATTTTCTCTGACAAATGTCTTTGAGCTAAAGATTTCAAGAATATAATACTTTAAATTGTATTCATAGGCAAATGGAAAATATAAAAGGCCTGTATAAAATCTACCGATCTTGAATTGCAGACAATTTTGAAATATGTTTCTCTTATTCACTGATGCATTCCATTAAAACTTGCATCATCAGATAGGTGTGGCAAAGGTTTTAGAGGATTAGTGATAATCTGTGAAGGTGTATCTTTAGATAGGCGATAGTTGGCTGAAATGCGTCAAGGCCAAGTGAAAACGACAATTTTTGGATGTAATCTTCCCTTTGTGCATTACTATAATGATCCAAAGATTAATCATGAAGATGTCGACTGTGAGAAACAATTGTCATTCAGCTAAGATGGCTTGTAGGTCAAGAATAACTAATTTAAACCGTTCGACAATCTAATGTTTTATTTTTTAATGTTTATTTAAAATTTTACCTTTTATGATTTATTTAGTTTGTGTTTACATATTTTTTATTTACACCCTAACAAGGAATTTATTTTACAAAAAAAATCCAAACGGTGTGAACATTTATACTTACACTAATATTAAGTGTTAAGTATTAAGTTAAATAAAGTGAATATTTATCCACTCCCTTTCAGTGAAAATTTGTCTTTTGCCACATCCAATCTTTTAATTTTTGGACAACTTGCAGTACTAAATATCATTGTAAAAACAAAAAAAAGGCTTAAGTTTCATTTATAAATTTAACCATTTCAGACTCTCACAGAACTGATAGTGCGAGTTTGATGGAGTCTGTATTAAAGAGAAGATCAAGGTGTGGACCTGAAATTGATCTCTGGCCAAGGACAAATCACGAAAATAGATTATCACGTAAGCTCCTTTTCCAAATCAGTTGTTAAAACTATTATAAAGCTTGGGAAACATCATTTTATACCGTTTTGTTTATAGTTTTGACAGATATTGACATAAACAGTTGGGGCTCGACTCCACCTCCTTCAGCTCCTTCTACGTTCAGAGGGAGGCCTTATAGGTTTAATACTGATGTTTTCTTTTTACCACAAGGTGTGATTAAAAAAACCCATCATGATTTTATTTGTTTTTTTAAACTTTTATTTATGTTTTTAGGAGGTAACAACACGGCAACGATGAGCAGCGGGAGGTCGCTTCTTACTCCCGTGGCTTCTTTCCGAAATGGCCAGTTCCCCCCGCACAACCACCACAACCTCAACACAACGTCTATCAACAACAATGGCCATCCTGTCAGATACAGAGGTCGGTTTTATAATTTAAAACAAAACCATAATGGAATTGTACAAATGGAATTGTTATGTTAACAGAAAGGTCACAAAGTGATGCTCTCAACAAGATCAGGGCACCAGACATCGAAAATAAGAGGGCCAGCTATGTGTCAACAGTGATTTCTCAGATTTAATGCGAACAATTTGTCATTCAATACCAATATAAAAAAAAGTAAATTTAATAGCCTCTTTTTAAATACGAATAAGTTTGAACGAGTTGGTTTTGAACAATAGTCAATAAGCTAATCAGTTGATATGTATTTTTATAATTTTGTTCTTTGTGTATAATTTTATGTATTTGAATTTTGTTCACATTTATTAGACATATTTTTTTCCATAATTACCAATATGTTTTCAAGATGACTTGTAATTACCAAAAACAAATTTTTAATTTAGTTGATAAATTTTGGACACGAGGACAAAATGTAATAGATCATAAGAAAATGTTATCTTTAGAATGCTGCACAAGTTATATGTCTTTATTACCAGAACACGTTATAATAAAAATAATTAGTCATAAAAAATCCATGAAGTCTAAAACCGAGTAGTATTAAGAACTTGAGACTTAGTACAAGTTATTATTTCAGCTTTCGACTAGTCTGAAATTAGTGTAAAATCTCTTGTTTCAACGAAAATTGTCCATGGGGTTGTTAATGCATTGTTCTGTTACCAAAGATCCTATACTGAATTTGTATGTATCAGCAAGTATTTTATATGAGTTTAGCTTGTGACATTTTATTTATGCAAATAAACACTGTACTAGTTGCAAAATGTATGATTATTAACCTCAACCAATTTTCCTGTACTCAGCCGATAATTCTGAAATTGTGAGGTTTCTTAGTGAAATGTGCATAATTAGGAACATCATTAAAAATCTGCTAAGCAGCAATAATTTTTATAATTGTTGATAATTTACAAGGATATTCTAATGGAATTCACCTTAGATAAGTGATGAACCTTAAACATAGAAAGAAAAGTTTCATGAGTTTAAATTAAGCAGCGATGATCGTATCAAGCCTTTGAATAGACAGATACAAGTATCTAGGTGTGCATCAGGCAAAAAGAGTAGAATGTAACGAGATAAAAAGAAACAAAAAAGAAAAAGAAAGCTAATGAAGGAATATGATAATCATTTGGACACTGTGCTTCAGACAGAATTTAGAGCTATTAACGCCAAAGCCATACCTGCCCTGACACTTATTTGGGGTGATGTCCTGGTCGAATATATTTATAAATTACAATTAATTAAGGTTTTTTAGTTGAGATAAAAAAGTCAATGGCACGAGCGGGATTCGAACCCACGATCTTCGGCCGCGCTGCTCTACCACTTGAGCTATCGTGACCTTGATCCACTCGGACACTAACTTATCTCAACTAAAAATCTTAATTAATTGAAATATGGTCAATTATGACATATTAACAGCTTCCCATGGCCACTTCATAAGTCGCTGAGAATCGAATCCTGATTACACGATATTTAAAAATATGACAAAAAGAGAGACAATTCGAACTGTTGTAGGTTGAGATGGGAGTTGGTGTAAAGGTCATGGGTTCGAATCCCGCTCGTGTCACTAATTTTTCATCTCAACCAAAAACCTTAGATAAAAAGAATAATTAATATGGTCAATTGTGACCACTAAGCAAATATGGATTAATATCTAAATTTTAATTATCGGTTCTTTCTTTACTATTCCTACTTGAGAAACCTCATCTAATATACACTCAAAGGAAAAAATAAAAAATAAATAAAAACAACAAAAACCAACACTTGTAATTTGACGTTTATTTCAAACTACACACACGGGTGCGCGTGACACCTAATAACCAAATAAAGAAGCTTAAAAAAAAAATTCAACATACAAATCAAACAAATCTCTTAAAAAACAGACAATAACAATAGTGAACAACCAAAGCAGAAAAACTACTTTGAATTTTTCTTTTTTCATGTTTTTATTATTAGGTTAAAGTTGGGTTTTACAACTTTTGTATTGTTTTACTTTTTCTGTTTGTTTTGTCTGAGTGTAGTGCAGATATTTTGTTCAATTTTTCTGCTTTGGTTGTTCAATAGGTTTATTGACTCTTTTTTTAGTGTGATTTGTATAATTTTTCTTTCCCTTTGTGTTTTATTATTGAGTTAAAGTTGGGAAATAAATTTTGCCCAGGACAAAAAGAGGTTTAGAGTGTAATCAGGTTATTCTCAGCAACTCGTGAAGTGGCCATGGGGAGCTGTTAGTGTAGTAATTACTTCTTTTTCATTTGTAAATTACTCCATATTTGCTTAATGGCCATAATTGACCATATTAATTATTCCAATTAATTCTTTTTATCTTAGGTTTTTGAGATGGACTTTTTTTTTAAATGGAAATAGATCATTTTTATCATGGTTGAGATGAAAAATTAGCCAAAGGTCATGGGCTCGAATCCCGCTCATGACACTAATTTTTCATCTGAACCAAAAACGTTAGATTAAAAAAAATAATCAATTGGAATAGAAGATAGAATTGATAGAACAGTTCCCGGTATTGCACTCCACATTTTACTTTTTAATATATTTGGCAAAACATGGACTTTGAGGAGAAAGTAGTAAAGTACAGTTTCTTCAAAGAAAAGATAAAATGAATGTGGAATATAAAAAGGTTGCTCACCGTCGCATTATAACATCCTCCATGTGCATGGTCCCCAAATGCCTACTGGAGAACTTGGAAGCAGAAGGTTTACCCAAAAATCTGTATGCCTCCATGCAGAACAACATATTATAATAAACAGGACGGTATGTTTAAGGATAATTACAAACTTACATAGTAAAAAGAAGCTATACAAAAATATATACAGCTTGGATATCTGTCAGCCTGCAGATTTATTTTAAATATAAGATAATTATTACAAAGATTGAGTACAAAGTTTAGAAGGAAGTTTTAAAACAAAGACTACATATTTTTAAACATTTATTTACCAAATATCATTACAAAACAAAATAACAAAAGTATTTTCTACATAAATATATTTAATATTTAACAATGGACATATCGGTTGGTTTGGACCCAATCTAAGATAAGATAGCTTTGACCTCTACCCAGTAGATTGATTCCCAAAATCAAAAAATATACAATTGACAAGAAATGTGCGAAGGAGGATACAAATTTATTTGGCTTAAACACATTTCTTGTACTGCCTCCTCATTACTTATATACATAGACTAAATATATATAAATAAGAGGGGCTTGTGATTTTTTTGCTTTTTGTTAAAAGTATTTACAGTTTTTCAGAAGGACATTTTTATATTTCTATCTTTAATTACTAGTTATGGCATAATCATTAATTGTTTAGAAGAAATATATTGCTACACAGAACTTCTGTATTTTTTTTTCCATTTGTTAAAAATAACAAGGTAGTTATCAATTATAAAACAAGATTAAACGACTGGATGGAAATGGGAGGGATGAAACGTCTGGTTTATACGTGTTGTCCGATGTATCTGTCCAGCTTGTTCCAGTTGCCAGAATAGTCTATTCGTAAATGTCCTAATGTGTTCATGCCAAACCTGCTCTCTTGTGTCGCATACTTCCTTCTTCTTGACTCGAATTTCTTTTCTGGATCTCTCCTGTTGGTTCTCCCTAGCCGGTAGAACTGGGGCCGCTTAATCTCAAGACCAGACTTCAGGTCTTCGTAAAGCCCATCTTCGATGTTCGTGTCATCATCTAAGCCCCTGAAAAATAACGTTTGAAAATTATTGACTGCTGTTTGATCAACTCGTGCTAACAATTTTATTAAGAAACGAGGCTGAGAGTGACAATTTGAATAGAGATAAAACAAGTATTCACCAAACTGATGAGTTAGAAATTAGTTTGATGACCCTGTAGTTTGATCATTTTCGGTTATCCTGCTCTGTTCGTCCAGGGAAATCGCAGACAGAAAGATAAACTGTGTTGGCATGTCAGAATGTATGAAATTATCGGCTCCGTTGACTGACTCACCATTGAGTCAGTTTATAAATTATTCTGATTTTTAATTTTTATACTTCATGTGAGTTAATTTTTAATAATTTTGTTGGTGAGTTAGTAGTAAGTAGATCATCTGTCAGAGCATGTTTCGAAATGAACAAACTATAATAATTATTTTACATGAAAATAACTCGGTGGATAGAAAAATTGTACTGGCATGTCAGAATGAGTTAAATTACTGTTATTTTTTATTTTATTTTATTTATTTACTTCTTTTTTTATAAGTATTCAGATGATTCTGATGTTTTTATTTCTGATATTTCATTCTATTTTTAATTTCTGAAGAAAAATACTTTTGGTTTGGCATATTTCCAAAGATACTGGAGTCTTCCATAGCTTCAGCGAGTCAGACCCAAATTTTGGTATCTTTTGATCAGAATTCAGATGATTCTGATTTGTTAATTTCTGGTATTTCATTCTACCCTGTATTTCTGAAGAAAAATATTTTTGGTTTGGCATATTTCCAAAGATACTGGAGTCTTCCAGAGCTTCAGCGAGTCAGACCCAAATTTTGATATCTTTTGATCAGAATTCAGATGATTCTGATTTTTTAATTTCTGGTATTTCATTCTACCCTGTATTTCTGAAGAAAAATACTTTTGGTTTGGCATATTTCCAAAGATACTGGAGTCTTCCAGAGCTTCAGCGAGTCAGACCCAAATTTTGGTATCTTTGGATCAGAATTCAGATGATTCTGATTTTTTAATTTCTGGTATTTCATTCTACCCTGTATTTCTGAATAAAAACCCTTTTGGTCTGACTTATCTCCAGTGATGATCTGGGACTGCAGCATTAATTCTGGTTTCTTTGATCAGTGATGACCCTGGTTTTTAATTTTGTACTTTGCTTTATTTTTAATTATCCCAATTAGTTATTCTTTTTATCCAAGGTTTTTGGTTGAGATGAAAAATGATGCAAAAAAAGTAATTAGAGCTGCGGCGTATGGAGGCGAAGGTCTTGGGTTCGAATCCCACTCGTGACACTAATTTTTCATCTCAACCAAACATCTTAGATAAAAGAAATAATTAATTGGAATAATTAATTGGTCAATTAAGACCACTAAACAAATATAGATTTATTTTCAATCGTGTTTTGGTCAGTCATATCTCCAAATTGGATTCTTCAGATGCAGCGAGCAAAGACTCACGGAATCAATGCTAGAGTCAAATAATTGTTTAGTAAGTTAAGTTTTGGTATGGTAGTATTATTGGTGTGGTGTCATATTAGTAGCTTAAAACATAATATTAAATTTAAATCATTGCTTTGGCTAAATAAGGACCAATAAAAAACTTGTAAACAGTAGATTATTCTAAAAAGTTATTTGTCAAATGTACACCGTTGTAGGATGAATGGCCTCTCCAAGATCTGGTTTTAGTATAAATTTCGTCGTCTTTTACTACTATACAGGGTGTCCTTTTTAAATGGCTCGGCTGAATTTCTCTTGTAACAATGACGCTATCAAAAGAAAAACGAAAAGAAAAAAGCCTAGTTTCAAATTTTTACCTTTTTTGGCGAAAAATTAGACAGGGTACCTCAAGCCCAGTTCAACTTCAGAATTTCAAATACGACCCTATAAATCATTTTGAAGGTTGTTAAGGCTGAAAATTAAAATCCGATCATTGGTCAGAAAATGAAGTTATGGCAGAAAGAACTCGGCAGCGTAATTTCGAAGAGGAGCTGGATATTTTACTGTGTGATACAGCCGAAGGTCGTGGGTTCGAATCTCGCTCGTGACACTAACTTTTTCATTTCAACCAAGACCTTAATTAATTAATTGAAAGAAGTAATTTGGTCAATCTGACCACTAAACATAATGGATTTAATTTTATTGTATGTCCGCGAAAAACCGAATTCTTCTCTCCGAAAATCAGCGATGTACTCCGGACTTACAATTTTAAGCCGCTCTCATCTTGTCCAGGGACTTCGGGACTATGGCAGGCGTCTTACGTTCCTCGCACAAATGTCGATTTGGGAGGCTGAAGAAAAAGTTCTTCCATACATCTTATGGACTGATCAACCCAAGTTCACCTCTAATGGCATACTAAATCTTTGGGATTTTGGGCAGAGTAAAATCGAGAATTTCGTACTCCTGGCATCATCAGGTGGTTCATAGAAAACAAATTTGGTGTGGACTTCACGAAAATTAACTAATTGCGCCTTATTTCTACGAAAATAATTTAAATGGTGCTCAGTTCCTCAATTTTTTGAGGGAGGTTTTACCACCGCTTTTAGATGTACCTCTGCAACAAAGACAAAGAATGATTCTCCAGCTTGATGGATGCCCCGCACACAGTCTTTTGCAGGTAAGACTTTATTTGAATCGTCACTTCCGGGATAGGTGGACAGGACCTCATGGCCCGATCTGGTAGCCTCCTCTGTCACCCGATTTAACTCCACTTGACTATTTTCTGTGGGACCATTTAAAAAAACAGTGTTTACTCCAAACATAACCCCCAACTTCAGTTGAAGAACTGCGGCAGGACAGAAAATGCTTGTCAACTCTCTTCCCCTGACTCTATCGCTTTAAGCACCGGTAAAGAGTGGTTAAAAAGATCATATCTTTGCATCATTACGCAAGGCAGGCAGTTTGAACATTAAATGTAATTAATAAATAGAAAACCAAATGTCCCTTTTATTTCAAACTTGTTGCCAAAACTCTGTCATTTTTTGACCAATTTAAAATCCGATTGCACCATTGTTTTAGCGTAAAAATCATTTAATTATGTATCAGGATGTATAGAGTATTTGAAATTTTGAAGTTGAACTGGGCCTGAGGTACCCTGCATAATTTTTCTCAAAAAAAAAGATAAAAATTTTAAACTGGACTAAAAAATATTAAACAAGTATTTTTTATTTTTTTGACAGCGCCATTGGTTTAAGAGAAATTCAGTCGGGCCAGTTAAAAAGGACACCCTGTATAGCTGCTTTCTATATTCAATGGATGGAGAATAGCAAATATGAATATGTATAAATATTATATTATATTTGTTTCCGCCAAGTAATCAGTTTCATATTCGTCCTTGAGCTTGAACTGTAAAATTATCCGAAGCGGAATGAACGGGAAGAAAGCGGAAACCGACTGAAGAAAGGATGACGGCAGGTCAGGGTGCGATTGTGCAACTCTTGTTATTTATTCCTCGGCCCGTAACCGGATAATCATGGAATCCATGCCGTCGCCGAGCTGTAGTGTGCTTGTTTTGAACTTCAGGCTGTCAAATACATCCGATTGTTCAAGCATTGATTCAAGCATTAATTTATACAACCTAATTTCGAAAGGGAAAATTCGGCTGTTATGTACTAAACGACAATTTCCCACATACCAAGTTATCATGCCATAATTTGGTCTTCGTACATTCTCATCAAGATATACGACAAAATATTTAAATTTTTCTTGCGTTTTTCGAAAAAATACTGATAAAAATTGATTTTCAGCGAAGTTCGGTTCAATGTTAACTCATGACAGATGAGCGACGAAAAATGAGAGGAAATTGCAAGCAAACGGAAAAGGAAATTCAGATACGCATTTCTGCAATTCTCCTGGAAAACAATTAAGTCGGTGGTTAAGAAGAATAGTTCAACCTATTAAAACATAATTCTTACACAACAATAATTAAAGTTATTTTCTAAACTTGCTATACTGTACATTTCTTCAAACAAATGTATATATTATATATCTCAGATAAATCTTATATCTCGCGAAGGTCATAAAAATATGTAATGTTCACAAATACCTTTTCACTTTTCCAAATAACTGCTCAAAATGAAAAGGGATATTGCTAATTTTGTAATATTTACTTTCCCTGGCATTATTTTTATTATAAATTGCATTAAAATTTATTAGAAATTATTACGCTTCTTCTGACGGAAAATTTAATTAAGGGCTTTTGAAAAATAACAAAATTAAAGGGTTTAATACCATAATTTTGTTTATTGGGCACAATATTTTTTTAAACAATTAATAAGGTGTATTATATCCTCTTTTAGCTAAAACCTGTGCACCTGTTAGGCACAATTTCATCCTGTGTCCTTTTCCTACGAGGCACTCAGTTGTTGCAGGTCAACTGGCTGCGGATGATCGAAAAGCCTTCTCTGCAACGTATCCCAAATATGCTCGATAGGATGGATGTCTCGAGACAATGTGGGAAGGAGCGCAGATGGGAAATTCCCAGGATTTCTAAACACTGGTGAACAACTCTGCCTCTATGAGGTCTGGCATTGTCATCCAGAAATCGAAAATCGCTGCCAATGAGATCCCTGGCTTGAGGGATGAATTCCTCCATAATTTCTTGGATATAACGGACTGTGGTGAGGCCGCCTTCAACAATATAGAGTCCAGCTCGTCCTCCAGTGTTACAACACTGCAGTCAATCGTTGCAGGTAAAGAAGTGGCTGCAGATGGTGATCTGAATGCTTTTCGATGCAATGCATTCCACATGTGCTCAATGGGATTGAGGTCTGGGGTCAATGGGAAATTCCTAGGTTTTCTAAACATTGATAACAACTGTGACTCTATGAGGTCTGGCATTGTCATCCAGAACTCGAAAATCCCTGCCAATGAGGTCCTTGGTTTGAGGGATGAATTCCTCCATAATTTCTTTGATTTAACGGACTGTGGTGAGGCCGCCTTCAACAATATGGAGCCCAGTTCGTCCTCCAGTGTAAATCCCAGCCCAGACCATTACACCGCCTCCTCCAAACTGCAGTG